AAGTAGTGCTTACCCTAAATCAAGGACTTTCAGTTTCCCATGCTCTGCCAGTGAGGAGGTGCACAAGAAGCCAGGAGGAAGCACAGCCAGACCAACTGACCTGAACTAGCTAAAGGGATATTCAATACCACAGAACATTATGCTCAGTATATGAACTGGGGGGAGTTAACCAGGAGCCACTGATCACTGCAAGGGAATGGGGTAGTGGATGGTGAGCAATAGCATTTTGTATAAGTTGTGTTTCTTGAGTTTCATTCTTCTCTCTCTTTTTTTCCTGGTATTATTGTTAGTGGTGTTATTATATTTTACTTTATTTCTTTATTTCAATTATTGGGTTTTATCTTTTTTTTGATTCTCCTCCCCATCTCACTGGCTGGAATGAGTGTGGTACTTAGTTGCCAGCTGTGGTAAAACCACCACAAGCAGAAAATACTAAAATAAACATTAATTAACTTAAAGAGAAAATGTTCCTTGTTGGATCTTCTCATTTGGGTCATCTAATCTCTGTTAATATATCACTCCCAACTCTTGCCCTCTTAATTGAGTCAATGCCAATGCACTGTATAGACAATACGTGTAGACCTTTAAAGTCGCTGCTCCCGTATTTGTTAATATGCTCTATGGAGAATCTGAAAATCCAAGATTACTGTAACATCAGTATTTTGCCATTGCCAGATTGCTGGAGACCTGTGGATTTAAATAAAATCCATGAATTTTGATAAGGCCAAATGTAAGACCAAATATTCCTTTTTCCTCTGCTGCTTTTCTTATTGATTAATAATTCACACAATTGGGCATTGCACACAAGCTGGAAGCACTGCTTGTGAAGAAGGGGATTGCACATCACTTCAGAAACGTGAATGTAACAGACAATGGGGAGAGCAGAAGGAGACATGGAGAACACCATCTAGCAGATCATTCCTTTTCTGCAAGGGCAGAATTTGGGTGATGGGATCTTTGTCCTACTTTAGGTTCTGTTGAGAAAATACCACATAACACTTGAGTCCACTGGCAGGCAATTCTTCAATGATTTAACTGTTATTTACTATGGTGTTGAGCTCTGACTTACCCAGCAAATAAATGTAATGCTTTACCTGCTTAAAATTCAACTTGTATTAATGCTTGCTAGGTGAGGGCCAGGACAGTCAGCATACAGATCTAATACCTGCTGTTGCTACTTACAGTTTTGTTTTGGCTTTTTTTTTTTTCTTCCCCTTATGTTTTCAGATTTCTTAATTGGTTCGTGGCTCTTCTGCAGTTCCACCACAGGGAGGTTCATGTTGTCAGGTTTGGAAGGATGAGTATTAGCCTGACAAGTCACCCTGCAGGCCTCTTGATACTTCCTTATTCGCCATTTGTCGCGAGTTAGATGTTTTGAAGATAATTGCAAACAAAGCAGCATATTTAATTTCCCTTCAGGAGCAGAGGATTTATTTAAAATAAATATCTAATTCTCCTCATCAAACCTGCATGATCCCTTTCCTGTTTCTATAGCTAATCTCTAACTGGTCTAGCAGCAGGATTTTCCCAATTTTAAGGGAAGTTATTTTCATTGTAACTGTGTGATTTTGACATAACTGTAAAGGACTCTTAGTACTCAATATTGAAAAGCCAACTTGATTTCTTTACTGTTGGGTGTATTTTAGAAGTGTTTGTTTGCATTGATATTGCTCTTGAAGTGTTTTTACATAAAAGGAGCTTAGGATACATTACTGTTAAGTGTAGCTTCCTATCTGAGGATGAAGTGGCACAGGGACAGTTTTGTTTCACCATAATTAAGGGCAAAAAAGCAAATTATTCCTATTTAAAATATATATCTCCATATTGACTAATAGAGGCTACCCTTTACTGTTTGCTTTAGTATGGAAATTTTCCGCTGAAATTAAAAAGAAAAAAAGAAAAAAAAAAGAAAAAGAAAAAGCTATGGGCAAAGGGCAAAAAAGATTATAATTTTATAGGAGGAAGATGGACTCTAACAGCTTACTGGAACTGTAGCACAAACATTGTTAGGTAGTGCAAGAACGGAAAACCAGACAGAACAGTAAGTGGAAAGAGAAAAACTATTTAACATATTTAACATAAATAGTTACATAACTATTTTACATATATTTAACATGCTGTTTCTCTAGTTAGTTTGGTTTCCTAGAGTAGCTACTTATTGTTTAGTATTCTGCATCTTTAGACCAGTTTGTGCTACAGGGGCACAGATGTGTATTTCTGAGCAAGTCAGGTTGTCCATGATTCTTCCCATGATCCCCTCATCGTTACATATGGACTCTAATGTATGGTTGTTCTATACTGCAGCGGCACACTCCTCTCCTTTCTGCCCCCTGCCACCTCTTGCAGCTACAGGGGTGTTGGCACTGCTTTGTCTCTGTCATTCACAGCCTCTGTGCCTGCCTTCCTCTGAGCGGGAGGAAGGGTGAAGGTTTGGCTGCTTCATTCACTTGAGCCTTATTCGCAGAAGCTATAGGGAGGGAAGGTTTGTTTGTCCTTTGCTTAAGCCATGCCAGGTGCTTTGTTGTAGGAATTTCTGTTGTTGCAGGGGTGTGGTCCTGCAGGGAGCGAAGTTTTTACATTTTTCCTTCATGGAGTTCTGGTGAAGTTAGCAAATGTATCTCCATTTGCAGTGATATTGTTTGCACAATTTGTTCCTTCCTCCCTTCCTGAAGGATATTACCTGCTCATAATACTTTTCTCCAGTAAATCAAAATGATACATTTTAAACTACTTACTTCTTTGTGAGGGAGGGAGAACAGCTTACAAATACCGCTATTCTTCATTGTGGAACTGGACAACAAGAGAGGGGAAAACTTTATGAATAAAAATAGGCCTTTAAAATTCCCCTCTGTCCCTGGAGGTTTATGTGGTTTCTATAAATACTTAATTCCTTTGCATTGCTTCAGATATCTGGCAGTTAAAAGGCAGGGAAGAACCCAGATTAGTGTGAGATGTTTTCATTAGTTATTCCATGGAAGGATATTTATAGTCTTCTTTACAAACTTTAGTTGGACTCCATGCATATCAGGAGTGGAAAGTTTGAAAGTTTTTAAGTGGTTCCTCAGTGAAATTTCAAAGATACTTCTGCTGCCTTTAACCAGATAAATGCTTTTCAGTTTTTGAGAAACAGCTGTTTGTATTTCTTCACTGTTGTCTTACAATGCTATTTGAAAACTGTAAGAGTTTTCGCTCATCCAGTGACTGTTTTTCAGACATTAATAGTGAATTTTATGGGATTCACTCTTACATGTCTGAGCCAAGAATACTTCTGTGAAAGCCCATGAATTAATAACACTTTAAAACTGTGTGTCTTAAAGCCATAGAAGTAAATTAAATGTACTATTTAATTACCCACCTGAAATCAGTGTGTAAACCCATCCCAAACTGATTTATAACCCTCAATAGGGTGTACTTTAAATCTATAATATGCATAAAAGGTATCCTGGAGAAAGAAAATTGATCATGAATTTCTGAAGTGTTGTTAGGATTATTTCAAGGCAGAGAGACTTTGTTCTTCTGTAAGACCCTGCATATTTCAAGATATTATCTACGTCTGCCAGCTGCATTATCTCACATCTTTGTAAAATTCAACACAGATAAAACTGTCTAGTTAAATCCGTACTGAGATATTCATCTCCTAGCCCTAGGCTCCTTCTGGTTAGCATCCAAGGACACTCACCTTCACTGTCCTGTTGTGGACCCAAAGCCCCTTTTCCCACCTGGCAGTGACACCAGTAGCTGGCAAAGCTCAGATGTATTTGCTCCTACTTGGCACACCCCTCTTGCCTGGCTTCTTGCACAGCTCTTGCTCTGATTGAAACAAGCATGATCTCTGAGATGAGTCTGTGGTATATTTGATTATTTGGCTGCTGCTTCAGAGATGAATATTGTTACTGACTCACCAAACAAGACAGGTGCTATTTACAGAGTACAGGAGCTGCTCTACAAACCCGTCTGTGCAAGCAGTAAGGAAATCCTCTCCTTTGCTCTCTCCAAAACCCGGCTTTGGCTGTACAACTAGCTGCTTAGGTTTGCACTTGAAAGGCAGAGCTGGCAATCTGCTGCATGGCTGGCATTCTATTTAGTCCTCGACCCTTTTGTTGCTTGCATGCACTGCATTGTTTTTTGCTGGCAGACACGCACGATTCAGCACAGGATTTTGACACACGCATGCTGCTGTCCCGAAGGATTCGCTGAGCGGGCTGTCTTGCAGCTGCTGCATTTTCCACCAGTTAAATTGACAGTTACCTACCGTGTGGAGTTGCTAGGAGAAGGTGTATAGTCATCATTACAGCATATTCCTTCAATAGCAACCTGTAGAGCTCTCTGATTTCTCTTCTGCAGGGATTTATATGTGTCTTTACTACTGACTTAGCATTTGTACAGTCATATTTTTATTGAGAGGCTGGTAGATATTTATTCATTAAGAAACAATTCAGGATCAACTAAAGAGAGGAAAGCTCTGGCATTTGAACATTCACTCTTTTTGTAGGGTGATGTGGCTGATAGTGGCTTCTACCATCTGCTTTTCTATTGCAGCTGGTTTCTCCAACCTGCAGAGCAGAAACCAGCCTTTCTTCTGGATTTGTTAAAGCAATTCACATTTATCCTGCATGGCAATGAATTATAGTCCATTTTAAGGAATCTTTTGTGCTTCTGTGCGTCTTCTTACAGCAGAAAAAGTGCATGAGAAAGGAGCTTGAGCAGTCAGTAGTACAGTAGCTGGCTCACCCGTATGGATTAGACTTGTGAGGTCAGAGGAGCTGCGTGTACTTGCTCTGTGCTTGGGAGGTGGAGGGGGGGGGAGAGTGGAATTGTCTATCAAAGTGAATAGCGATTCAGGCAGGATCGTCCCTCAGCTGTTGTAATTCTGATGTGCTTTGATATGACAGCAGCTAGTGTCTAACATGTGTGGATCTTCTGACATTTGTAGTGGACTAAAGAATGCTTTTACTTGCTGCTGAGCCTGACTGTAACTGTATCGCTGTAGGACAATAACGATGGGGGCTCGAGCGATGGAAACAACTCGGGAACTGGAAAGCACCTCTATAAAGTATCAAATAGGAGGACATGCAGAGAAAATGTGGCAACGGCTCAAAGGAATGTGAGTAGCTTCTCTCCTTGGCTTTTGTTCTGTTCCCTGGGAAAGATCCTTTTCATCTGTTTGTTAAAATGACTAATTAGCAAACGGGAGACTTATCGCTAAGCTGTGAATAGTATTCGCTCTTATAACACAGTACAGCACTCTCATATGTGATGCTACTTAGATTAATACCAGATTCTGTATAAGGTTCAATCACCTCATTTAAAAGATATTAAATTATTATCCAAACTGAAATGCAGGTAAGTCTTTTCAGGTTAACACTTCCATAGCTCTGTTATGATTTTGTAAATTTAATCTTCAGAATCAGCATTGCTGGAGCTGTTTCATCATTCCTGTCAGTATGTATAGGTAAGTATATTATTGCACTTCCACAGGAGGTATCCATACTTTGCCTTTTGAGATTGCTGGTAAAGAAGTCTATATTAAAAGGTGCTTAGCTCTTAGGAGAATGCTATGTGTCTGGTTTTTTTTGTCAGTTATTTTTGTGCTCAATAATACTAAAAACTGATTGAAGGACTATTTGAAGGGGCCACTATGCACCTGCTGCGACTAATTCACTCCTCTCAAATGCAGTTTTCATTGTAGACTTTTGGTGCAAATCATCAGTAAATAAACATCTACAACCTGTCAGAGAGAAACTCCATCAAACTAGTGTGTTCTCAACCTTTTAAACTTCAACGCCTCTTTTTAAGTATTTGTCTGGTTTTTGTTCTGAAAGCTGGTGTCAGGATGTTACAAATAAATACATGTTACATTTGTTGATTTGCAAGCAAGGAAATTGCAGTATTATTTTTGCTGGAAAGATTTGAAATTCAGTGCCTCAGCTGTTGAAAGAAAACGGGTTACTTACAGCGCTAAGAGGATTAGATGCATTGGCACTGCCTGTTTCCTCTATGTATTGGGTAGAGATTTAAGCTGGCTATGGGAAGGGGAGTTTCCATCGTCTGCTTTCTTTCAAGAGAAAGTTGGTTTGCTTCATTGGAAAGTCACATTTCAGTTGTGGCCAGGGATATACCAGAACTTCTCTGTGATATGCCTTTGAATATTTGCTCTGAATGCTTTCATCACTCTAAGATTATTCACTTTGGGAACCATTTTTGCCCCTAGAAACCCCAAAGTGTACATAGTGGAGGAAATATTTTGATCATTTCCTGATGCCACACATCTTGCCCTGAGTATCCGCTGCTAGGGATCTCCCTCAGTTTGTGCAGACTTCCATTTGTGTAGGGTCTAAGCTGCTCCTTTTGTTTGTTCTGTAAGTTCTGTTATCACTAGGCTCTTGGTTTGAAACATTTCCTTTCAGCTGCCTCTGGAATGGTTTCATTAAACAAATTAATGTAAATAACTAAACATTAGTGACAGTCAGTACATCAGCTCCAGGAAATAAGGTTTGTGCTTCTTTAGGAGTAGTTAAAACAATAGTTGGAATTTGTGGTATATCAAAATCAAATGGAGGTTAAGCGTTTGAAAACCATGCATCTTTCACAGGTTGGTGCTAACCTACCTCATGAGCATTGTGACTGCAGGACAGGTAGTGCTAAAATACTTGTATTTAAAAGAAGCAGGTTACATTATTAGATATGTGCTCAGCTGGCTATTTTTCAGACTTTCCAATGATTTCATTTCAATTATTCACTAGTCTATTGGAAATCACTGACTAGTCAACGTAATAAATATTGTATGGGGAAATTTCAAAGAGTTTTAATTCTTCAGAGCAGATCCCTGTGCTCAGTTTGTAGTATAAGCATCAGTCATTAAAGAAAATATTAATTTTGCTGATGCAGGGATATCAAAGTAGAAGTATGTTTGTGTGTGGTAGGGGAGAGGGGCAGATAGGTGGTACTGCCACAGATAATCTGACTTGGGAAGAATTCTTTTATGAATTGTCAGGAGAATCGTTTCATCTTTGGGAGGGGAACCATTAATGATACTGATTATGTATCAAGCCAAATTTCTGACTTGTTAAGTAGTATATGGTGGTATATCTACACTGAAGTAAAGACATGGTATGAATTAGGAAGCTTAATCTGTTCTTGCTGATAGAGCCCACAGGCCTACAGAGTTTTTCTCAATGTATACATGTGATTTCAATACAGTTTTACTGTATTTTGTGTCGAAAGTGCTGACTATCTTCTTGCAAGCAGGTCATTATTTCTGAAAGCATATTGGTTTTCATTTAGGTAACTGTGTGGATGGTGTTTAAAAGCTGCACAGTATGTCCTTACTTAAAATGCGCTTTTATTTTCTGTTAGCATTTCTTCCTTTTTGCGTAATAGACATTCAATTAGGGATTTGGCTCAGAATTCCATGTATATTTAACCTCATATGTCTTGGGGTGTTTTTTGTTGGTGTATTGTTTTTTTTTATTTTTGTAAATGCAGACTGTTCTATAAGATTGTTGAGTTGAATGCGCTTCAGAATAAATGAAAATTCTTATTTGAATGCCCAGTAAGAAAAGCTGGGTATGGTGGAAGCTTGAATGAAAGGGCCTTTCTATGGATTTTCTACTCTATAGGCTTGCATAGACCTTGCTAACCTAATGCTCTCCCTAAGTGCTGCAATAAAGTCTTGGATGTTTTGAATAAAATTAAAACCATACCTAGCTTTCATTAGGTCCATGTGGCCCTACAGCCAAACTCTGCCTTCTGCATGGCAAATGAAAATCCAACTCTATTTTATTTTTTTACATTGCAATTGCAGCACTGCTGAAAACAAGGAGATTGTATGGCAGAGAAGAGACTAATTTGAAATTAATAACTCGATCCCTAGTATTGATGCTGATTGTGTTGATGCCTGAGTCTATAAAACACAAGCTCACTGAAACAGGACTTACTTGTGAAAATGAGTCATGTACTTTTCTGTCTTGACTGGAACTTCTGGTCTTTGAATTAAGACATTGTCAGTATGCAGGCTGCGAACTTCTAGTATTTTGTACTTCATGCAGAAAGGAAAAACAAGTGACAGATAGATAACTCATATAATAGTGTGGCTTTTATAGTTCTTTGTTACATGGAAAAGTAAAAACAAAAGCCAAGCCACTTCTGGAATTCCAACTGCCAGACTGAAAGGGAGCGTTGTGCACTTTCTACTTCAGAAGACACCTGGTCTGGCCGAGGGGTTCTTGCTCAGACCGTTAAATGCCACTGATTGCACTTTTTCTCCTTTGCTTTTCACTCTTTATTGGATGGAATTTTTAGACAGTAACTAAGTCTTCAGTTTATATGTATTCTGGTGTCAATAGGAGAGTTTTGCTTCAGATGCTCATAGAGCATGGTAGTGAGATCTGAAAGAGAAGCAGCTTCTTGAAAGTGTTTTGATTCAGAACCCAGAGAACCAGATTTAAAGCAGACCTCTGTATGCTTGCTGGCCTCACAGTGTTTTGTATTCTTAATCTGCAGGTAGACTTGACTTAATTCTGTGTTCTTCAATATTGCGTGAAATGGTATGCTCTCTGTTTATTGTATACATTGTCTTCTGTATACCTGCAGCTTCACTCAATGTCACCCGCAGAACAGTCAGACACACACCCCCCACCCGCAAATCTTATTTTGCAGGTAGGCGTATTCTTTGCAAGTAGTTTCTTGTATCCCGACCATTGTTGAAGCCAGTATTAGAAGTGAGTTCCATTTCTGAGCTTTGAATACATTAATGCGAAAATAGCTTGGTTTTCACAGATCTACATATTTGCTAGAATTGTCTCTAAGAGTTCAGAAAGTCTCCGAATGGAAAAAGTTAAAATCCAAGGTCCCAAGCATTTGGAGGATTGAAGTTCACATGTGGTTAGAATAGGCTGCTTTATTAAATTGTTACTGATTTTAAAAGAGAATATGTGTGCTAGAGTACTAGACAACCAAAGAGAGAAGAGATAGAATTACAGGTGAATAACTGTCACAAAAAATGGCGAGACAGAAATTGTCACTCACCGCTAACTACATTAGGAACAAATGGATGTACAGTTCAAGTAGTTTTTACTTATAATGTTGCCTATTTCCACTTTCTCCTAATGTGAAAACTTTTCTTTAAAGAAATATCTTAAGCTTTCAAAAGTAATCCAAATGACAGCTATTTCTAAAGGGAATTTATGTAAAATCGAAGCTGTTATTTGTCAAATATGATTTCAGAAATGCTCTGAACAGAAAATTGAAGAAATTATATAATGATTTACCTGTTGATTGATATGTATCCCATTAGAGCTATAATTACAGTAAGAATTGTTCCATTATAAATTGTGAATGCCTTCTTTTGATTTTTGAAACCAAAGTCTGTTTCTGCTCCTGAGTAGTCAAGGTAAATAATTTATAATTATAACTTTGTAACTTAAGAATATGTATCTAATTAAATTTATAATATGATAAATGTTAGAATTTTCAATTACTATAGATATTTCATCTACTCAGTATTAGCAATTTAGAGTACCTTTTTATGCAGTTGTATGAGAATACTGATATTATTTTGCTGTTAGAGAGGTATTTCCATTATCATCATGTACAGGAGGCACAGAATTAATTTTCTGGTTCATACTAATTTTTGCTGAAATTTCTGGCATATATCAGTGCTTTTGATGGATTAGAGTAAATGCTAATCCTCCAATTTACTGTGGGCAGGTGACTTGCTGTGCTTACAGAAAGCTCTACTAGAAATGATTGCAAATTGAAGGAGTGGTGCACAAGCCATAATTCACCTATGATACCACTAAGAACAGCAGCAGCATGTCTTTACAGGTCTCACAGTCCCTAAATAATGCAGTATGATATTGAAATTCCTCATTTGTAGACCTTTAAGTGTACATACACTGTTCACATATGCTTCCAATTAAAATTAAGTATTTTATCTAGGAAACTGCAAAGGACATTAAAGATAACATTTTGTGAAGCTGGCTACTAGACTGCGGTTGAATGAAGTCTCAAATTTCTGCACTGTGGTTTTTTGTTAGCCTAGACTTCTGACTATACTTATGCTACATCAAACCTTTCTAAGATTTCCTAAAAGTCTCTTTCTCT